GAGTGCTGCTTTGCTGCTTCCTTTCATCCTTGGCTTGTGGGGAGGGGGCCCCTGAGAGGTACCAATGTGAAAGTGCTAAGTATGGAAGGTCCTTGCTTAAAAAACGATATGATTCCATTTAACAGGTATGATCCCTCCTGGGGTTGACCTGTCTCACCTGCAGGGAGTATCTGCTCCCCTCCTTGGTCAACCATGCTACCCGTTAACCACAGCTGGCCACCCTCTCTTGAATCCTCGCTCAGCAACACCTTTGCAGCTGGCAATGATGCAGCAGCAACTACAGCGCTCAGGTAACGGGCCTCCCTTTGAGAAATCCTAAATGTTCTTTTTGCCAAGGCCAATCGTGCACCACCTTCATCCCAGATCTGTAACACAAGGTGGTTGGCCTCTCTCTCCCTCTCTCTCTTTCAGGCGCCGGCACACAAGGATCTGCTGTCGGGGTGCAAACAACTCCTCCGCCCGTGTCCTCTCGGACTGGACTGCCTCATATGCACTCGCAGCTTGACCATCGTGCCGCTGCCCAGCGAAGTAGCTCTCCCGTCGGCCTCGCGAAGTGGTTTGGTTCTGACGTCTTACAGCAGCCCCTCCCGTCCATGCCTTCCAAAGTGATCAGCGTGGATGAGCTGGAATACCGGCAGTGAAGAGCAGGATCTGCGCTGCTTCTGACTGGAGCCGTCTCTCCTCGGGCAGCTGGCCTCTGACGTGCTTCACTCCTATTTCTTTTGGGGTGCTTTGGTTTCAGCACTTGGTGCAGAATTCTTTTTGGAGTGGCTAAAAGCACACAGCGCCTGTCCTAGCTTCCACGTCTACATCAAGATTGAAAGAATTTATTATAGACTGAATAGTGAACCCTGAAAAAACTTGGATGCAAGACAGTACCAGAAGAATTTTGGTACCTTTTTTGTTTGGGTTTTTTTTTTTTTTTTTTTTTTTTGTAAAAATGTAGGAATGAAGTGCTGGTGACCTCTTGGGATAGAGGTGTCAGCCTTAAGGGTTCATCACTGGAAATTCTATGTACAGACCAATGTATGAACATCTTTTTTTGTATATATCCACGGGAGAGCTTTTTTGAACTTATACAGCTGTACATATAAGAGTAGCTAGTAAAAAGTTAAGCTTTAGTTTGTGTGCCTCTGGTTTGGATCTATTCACTGTACATGTGGGATGTGTATTAAAGGTGCCGCAAAAGTCAATTGTGCGTGAGCCAGGCTGACATGGCTTTGCCTCTTGTGTATCCCGGTCTTACTCCTCTACATTCTCTTCTAGGCAGGTCACAAAAGTGGGGAAAGGCCACTAGGGACATACTGTATATTTTTGCAGAGCAGAGGAAAAGAAATTACTGTCGGGATCTTTAAGCTCCTGAAAAATGGGCTGCAAGATGATACTGCCCTTCATAACGGCACACAAATTTAGGTACCATAGACCTTGCACCTGACTTCCAACTCTGCTGCAGCGTGGTGCATCTTCAGTGTTGCTGTTCACTAAAAAGTCAGACATGGCTACCCTTGAGTGTCTACAACTGCTAGCAGTCATAGTAATTTGTTCTCCCCTGCTGTGAAGTAACAGCCTTAAATCGGACACCTTCAGACCCAATCCAATCCAATCCAATCCAATCCAATCCTGAATTGTTTCACTTGGTGGCATGCTGTGTTGGCATTGATGACCCAGATCAGTTTGGATAAATGTCCTATAAATTGTGCCATGACCTCTGAGGGCCATCAGTGACTGAACACTTGAAGATTCTGTAACATGAATTTAAGTCAGCAGAAGTGGTTACAGGTGTTGTCCCTGTAAGATTGTTACATCACTTTTTTAAAATGAAAACTTCCCCAGAATTCTTTCTGTAAATAAAGTCAATTCTATGAGCTTTCTGACTCATTGTGTAAAGGGATATAGGGGCATATTTACGAAATTTGACTTTAGCAAAACAAATTCCAAGATTCATTCTGAAATATCCATCTTTTATCAGAAAAACTCAAAATTCTTGAGGATTTCAGAACTCTGCAATAAGTATCTGTTTAGAAAAAAAGGTTTTTTAATTTTTTTTAAAAATGTATCTGATGGTGCCTGTCTAAGCCACAATGATGGTTTGGAAGCTGCTTTTGGGAATTGCTTCAACTCATTTATAGATTGAGGTTGTCTTGCTGATACTGAATCAAAAGCTTCATGATTTTTGCCCTGCAATGAAGACAGTGAGTGTTGACAGTTTTATCTCTAGAACAGGGGTGTCAAACTGAAGGCCCATGGGCCGGATGCGGCCCACGGGGTGCTCAGATCTGACCCGTGAGGCCAGCCTGGAAACAGCAAAGGACTGGCCTGTGGTGCCTCTGCCAGCAAAAATGGAGCTTGGGGGACTGCACATGGCCCACCCAGGCTCCATTTTTGTTGGCAGAGGACTATCAAAACAAACAAAGAGGAATGTTTCCCCTTTTGCATTTGAGCATGCAAGAAGAGGCAGGAAAGGAGAAAGGGAAAGACAAAAAGGAAAGCTGGGAAGAGAGCAAGGATGGAAAAATAAGGAAAGGGGAAGGAAGAAGGAAGGAAGGAAGGAAGGAAGGAAGATTATGAAAATGAGGAAGGGTCTCAGGGAAATCCTGCCTTAGCACTTGGCCACCATGAGCTCCGTGTCTCACCCACCATGGCCACGCCCACCATGGCCCTCCCCTCCCCCACCCTTCAAGATCAAACAGCCCTGATGTGGCCCTCAATGAAATTGAGTTTGACACCCCTGCTCTAGAACATTGTAATGTGAGAAAACACTCAAGAGCTTCAGAGATCAGAATCAAAGTTAAGCCTGTCAAACTAGGTAAGTGGTCAGACCAGCCCAGAAAACAGTTTGAGCAGCAGTGGGGGGGGGGGGGGCCCCCCCCCCCCCCCCCTTTGAAGCAAGGAATTTGAGAAGTGGGTGCTCCTTTAGGTCTTGGTTCTTTAGCCCTGCAATGTGGCTTTGTAGTCTCACTTCCACCACTTAGGAAAAGCAGGAGGGGGCTGAAGGATCAGAGGGAATGGCTACCTCAAGAAATAGAGTCAGGTGCAGTTTAAGTAAGATATGTTGAAATTTGCAACATTGCTTTTTAATTGTTTCCTTGAACTCTTAATCCTACTGATATTATTGGTGCTGGGGCGTGTTCTCATTCCTGGGAGATTAGCTTCAGATTAATGAGCCTGCAAAATTCCTGATTAGAGTAGAATCAAGGAATGTGAAAATGGCTCAGACACCTCCCATGAATATTGGTGGGGGTGGGTGGGTAAATAGCTGTAGCGTTCCTATGGAATTGGTTTCTTGGTCTGATCTACATAAGTGGGGCTGACCTTTTTCCTTTCTTGGGAAGCTGCAACAGTAGGGATTGTATTGGAAGAGCTATAACCAGCCCATTACATGCCTTGTGTGTGCAAGCACACACTCAATTAGTCCATCAATTTGACCAAAGCACTTAACTAGCCCATTTCTTCCCTCCCACCATATCAACCACCTCATTGTGAGAAGGGCCGATACCAGAAGCCTTGAAGGATACCCTTAAGAAGCTCTCCCTTGAGCCACCCATACTGGATGGTTATTGCCTGGTTCTAACTTTGTCTTTCAGGAGAAGGCTGTAGGGAGGGCAGTTGAATGGCCACAAAGAAAAAATGGATTACCTGGACTCAGAGATGGGATGGAAAGCTCAATCTGGCCAACAGCCATTGGGGGATGCAGGGGGATGTTACACATCTCCTGGTCCTACTGTACCTCTTCCCAGTCCTTGATACTGACCACTATGGTAACATTTGGACCACCTATGAGGGTTTGGGATTGCAAGCAATACTTGCTCCTTGGCATCTGATCCCAATTGGTGGGTGCAGGGAAGGAGGGGGGACCCTCCCTTGTGGAGTTCCGGATTCTCCCCATTGGCTGCTTAATGCTTACATAAGGCTGCTGTTATTCATAACCACTGTCAATACACTGGGTATCATTACTCCAAGCCCACTTTGGAGATGCTTCCAAGGCAAGTGGAAGCCATTGGCTTGGATGGGATCATGAGACAAACCGAACCCTGGCAAAATGGCATTTAAAAGAGTTCCGAATCTGCTCTATGGTTGACTCTCAAAGGTGGTCCTGGACTCAGTCTACACGGAATGGGTGGGTGTAGCAGCTGCAGGCCTACAGAGAGCAAGATGTCCTTGCAGTAATCTTGCCATCCAGTGCAAGGTGCTCTATGTAGGGCCACCACTGACAAATGCTCAGTGGAGAAAGTACAACTTGTGAAAGCCACTTTCAGTGCTTTGTGAAATTTCCAAGGGCAAATCAATGTAAAATCTGCACAACCCGATGCCCGAGTGCTTCCAAGATGGACTTCTCCAGCTAGAATTACCCATCCAAGATATGCTTCTTGAAAGAACTGCTTGTGATTTCCAAATTTATGATGTTTGGGGTAAAATGGAAGGCTGAGGTCAAGAGAGGCTGCTTTTCAATTATGGCCCCCATTTTAAGAAGCATCCTCCCTCCTGAAATTAGTCCAAACTTTCTTTTTTTAGCAGTCTTAAAAGTTTTTTGCAATTCTATTCAAAAGATAACAAAAATGTATTTAACCTATAATTTTAAAATAGATCTAACAATCTTAAGATGTTTATGTTTCTAAGTATATTCTTAGAGTTCTTTCTAATAGGAATACCAACAATCAGTCCTTTTTTACATCCTCTTGGTTTATTTCTGTTAAGAGTGTTCATGGGGGTTCCCCCCCCCCTTCGTATTTGGATAAAATGTGTAAGAAAGCCAATGCTGGTGAACTGCTAGACTTGGTGAAACTTCTTCTGATCCGTTGTAGTAATTCTTTGTAATCCAGAAATATTTGACACTGATTTTCCTTTCAGCAATTTCTTTCAATTCCCGTTTTTAGTGAGACTGATTTTCTTGATGTCAACTGCAATTTTGCAGAACCTTAACATGCTCAAAGAATTAAATGTCAAGCCTGCCTATTTCAAAGCATCACCTAAGCCCTTTTGACGAGAACATCCTCTCCGAGTTTTTGCCTGTAGATTTTATTTACATCAGTAACAGGGACAAGACCATCACTTTTGTATACAAATCCACAAATGATAACGAGAAAAAGTTTTAATTTGTATCCTAATTTATGTCGGCAGCATAAAAGCTCCATTGACTGAACTCTTCCCAGGACAAAAATGTGGACTTAATTAAACAGCAGTGCAAAGCCACGTGTGTGTGCAATGCTCTCCCGCCCACCTCAGCAAAAAGATTTTAATCAGTCCACAAACTTGCCAAGTTGTGTTCGCATCCACTCAACCATCTGGCAGGCCAAGAAGTTCCATAGTTAGTCTTTTCTGAAAGGAATCGCGATCGATGGGCCAGAGGGATTTTTTTTTATTTCTTGACTATCTGAATGACATCTTCATCCTCCAAAGTATGATCTTTTCCCACTTTTTGAGGGTTGTGCTTGACGGATGAGCCCCACACAAGAGCGCTGGAAGAAAAGAGTTAGCAGAGAGTTAATGGCATGGATTTGTGATTGCATTGATCTTATTTTTAAATCAAGTAACTTCCTTCATAGATTAGGGGAACGTGGTGGATAATCTTGATTTATCTTAAGCAAAGCATTTGGATGGATGGCTTGGCTTTCAATACCTTCTCCTGCATCACGGTTGGTCCAAGGCTCCCTGGGCAGCGGCTGCCCCCTCCTCTCCTGACATTGAACACCTCCCCACCCACCCCCAGGCAGGACTACAGCTCCCACCTCTACTATAGTCCTAAAGGAACTGAATCGGCTGTTTGTAGACCATACTTACTATTTGAAATCTTTAATTAGGTTTTTATGAATCTTCATGCAGAAATCCTCCACGGTGGTCCGGGAGTCAGGCAGGACCACTGGAGAAGTATAATCTGGGAGCTGCCCTTTGGGTTTAGTGTAACTGCAATTAAACACAATGAAACGTCCCTTTATCAAGCATTTATGCTTTCAGACAAGCCCCCTTTCTAATCAAGTTTACTCTTTACAGTTATTACAAATAAAGAGCTTAACCCAAAGCGTACCCCAACAAGTGATGGAGCAGGAAGGAAGGCCCCTCTACCAGAATAATTCCCACCTGACAAACAACTACATGTCAGTGAAAAAGATTTGAGATGGTCTTCTCTGTGATGCATCCATTTTCTATATATACATGCTGGATACATGTGCTGGAGCATGTCCTCCATCTTATGAAAAAAATCATTCTGAGTCCTAAAAATATCATGGACCTTTTACAGAACAGATTCTAACCCAAACATTTTTCCCCCTGACTACAATCCTGCATATCTGAAGAACTGCTGAAATTCTGGCCCCCAGAGAATTATCAGGAACTTCGAGGGTCAAGGGAACATAGTTGAGATTTCAGAGTTGAGGGAAAATTGACACTAGGGAACATTTTAAAAAGGAACTGGAATGACGGAGATTTTGAGCTCTGACAAACCAAAACTTACATCCGCACAAGTTTAAGGTAATCCCAGATTTTCTCCAGCAGGTCATCAAAATTCCACCGATGATGAGCAGAGATGGGAACGCAGTGGGGCACTTTGTAAATGATGTCTAGTTCCTCAATGGAGATTTGATCAATTTTGTTCAATACATAAATGCATGGGATGTAAACTCTGCAAGGATGAAGAAGTTGAGCAAAAAATGTAAGACAGAGGTCCTTCCTATCTTGCTCCTATCTTGAGAGGTAGGAGACTTCCAATTCTAGGTAGTTACAGTAACCAAGTTGGTAGAGCAAAAGACTCTGCCCTGTAAGTTACATCCAGCCTATTTACTGTAGTCTTACTAAGCAATCAGATGCTAGGAAGCCAAGAGAGGCCCCTGCAACTTTCACTGCAGTGAAGACCCTTCTTGAACAATGCTTTGTGCTTAGATCAAAAGAGCAAAAAAGCAGTCATGTTGTAAGATACCCCAGCTCCCTGCCATGCAACAAGAGAACCTCCTTCCCCAGGCCCTTCCTTCTTTTATCAGCCCATGAAAACTACCTGTTTCCTTCAACCACATCAATGAGGTCATCTGCAGTCACATCGCTCCTCAGGGTGATATCAGCATTGTGGATTTTATATTCTGCCAAGATGCTCTTCACAGTTTCGATATCCAGCTCACTCTGTGGACACTGATCAAACAAAATATGATGATACACAGAACCTTTCAGACCACAACAGGGACTGGATCAGGAGTGAAGCACATGGACTTGTAGGCTTAGCCATATGGCAGGAAGGGCTTAATGAGCTTCACGCATCAGGACAGGAGATGGCCACAGCACACCCAGGTGGCAGGAATGCTAAACAGAAGTCACAGTAGCTAACCTGGAGCAGAAGGTCTCCTCAGAAGCCCTTTGCAGAACCCTAAAGGACTGTCCTGATCAAAGCAGGGCCTGCTTCTCTTCCCATCTCACTGGTGTCATGACTGAACCAAACTCTTGAGCTATACTTCAAAGGGAGCCCTTGCTGGACTCAGGGACTGTTGCCAGAGATCTCTTTCAGACATTCCTTCACATATAGCAAATGGCCGAGTGCAAATTTATCAGGTCAGATTTCTTATGCACAGCAAGGTAGGAAAGTAGAGGTACTACTTACTGTGGCCGTGAGGTTAATGCCTCCTTTGTCCTTTTTTTTAAAGCCAATATTGGGAGGTTTGCTGTTCAAACGTATCCCGAAGCCCTCCAGCTCGCTCTCAATTATCTTCTTATGTCCCAAAGGTTTCAGAACATCCAGAACAATCAGGATAAGGTTGCAGGTTCGGGCAACTGAAAAAAAAAGGAGGGGGTGGAATCTGAAAATATTTTCTTTCTCTCAGCCTCTTCTAAAAAGCCAAAGTGTTGGAATCTAAAGAAAAAAACTTCATGGTCATCTAACCTCCTAACTCAAACTAGAGTAATAAACTAAACATATTTTGAATCAAATGTATGTCAAGGAAGCAAGAAAAAACCATACACTTACTTAGTATGAAAATAAGCTTTCCCCAGATGCAATACTTTTGGGATCAGAAGCAAAAGCAGCACCAAGCACATGTCTCTTTTCTTCACTTCACCAGCCAGCCCTCATCTCCCTTTTTGCCCTGGGACCACCAGAACTCACCTGCAATGACCTGGCGACCTCTGCCTTTCCCATCTTTAGCACCCTCGATAATTCCTGGTAAATCAAGAAGCTGCAAAGTTTGTGGGAAAAAACAAATAAGAGAGATGTGGAGAAGCCAGACAACACACCTTAACCAGCTGTTAACCCGTTTCCCTTTGTCCTGTGATACTTCAGCCATGCTTTGCTGACCATCAGAACTTCTGGCCATCTCCTCCCGCTGATTCTTTCAGCATCCATTGCATTATTCTCCACCAAGGATTGGATTCCAAAATTCTACTCAACAACCTCACTGCAACAATGCGAAAGAGCATGTTGAAATCTTAGCTATTTATCTGCTTAGGAGATGATCTGGGAGCAAATGCAAAGTAATTCTTTTTTACTATTGTCAAAAGCAAATCATCTTGGATGGGTTGATGAGCTGAAGATGATCTTCAATATACAGCACCTGAAGCTGTTAAAAATGAGCTTGACATATGTATCTGACAGATGTACATGAACAAACCAAGCGAGGGACAAATATTGATTAAATCCATTCTTTAAATCCAGTAATTAAAAAAGACAACACTTCCAACCATTCCTGTAAAGTTTTTCCTTCCAGGGTTTTCATCTTGGCTACTTTCTTCTTGATAACCTTCAGTTTATTAGTGTCTTGTATAAAATGCAGTTTCAGAACTGGCCACAATATTCCGACCACAGAGGAACAATAACTTTTATTTTCTCTTAATACTTACAGTGGTTCTTAAAAGTTTGCAGATACTTTTGAATTTTCAATATTTTTGCATAAACGTGATCTGTTCTCCATGTATTCTAAAACTAGATAGAGAACCTTAGTTAAAGAAATGAGACCAAAAATTCTATTGGTTCATCGATTTATTGAGGAAAATGATCCATAGCTACATATTGGTATGTGGCAAACATATGTGAGCCTTGGTGGCGCAGCAGACTAAAGTGCTGTTAAGTAACACCAGCTGCCTGCAATTACTGCAAGTTCAAATCTCACCAGGCTCAAGGTTGACTCAGCCTTCCATCCTTTCAAGGTAGGTAAAATGAGGACCCGGATTGTGGGGGCAATAAGCTGACTTTGTATAAAAAAGAACACCACTTTGGGGGGGGGGGGACAAAAGCCCTACTAAGCAGCCATATACAAAAGTATGAAGGCTATTGCTTAACGCATTGTAAGCCGTCCTGAGTCTCCGGAAAAGGGCGGCATATAAATCGAACCAATCAATCAATCAATCAATCAATAAAATTCAGGCATCTGCCATGAACTCAAGTGCAAGAGAAAGTGGGCCATGCAGTGAGGCAGTGATCCAAAATACAGTCACAGGACCAAAGAATGCTTAAAGCAGAAGTTGAGGTTTTGAAATGGCCAAGTCAAAGTGCTGACCTTTAGTCTTATAGAAGTGCTGTGGAAGGCCCGGAAGGTGGGCAATTCATGCGAGGAAACCCAGCAACATCCCTGAACTGAGGCTGTCCTGTAAGGAGGAAGGGGCTACAGTTCCTCCAAGCTGATGTACAGGACTGGACAATTATCGGAAACATTTAGTTGCAGTTATTGCTGCCGTAGGGGAGCACAGGAGCTCCTGAAAGCAAAGGTTCACCTATTTTTGCCACATATGAATATATAGCTTTGGATCATTTTTCCTAATAAATCAACGAACAAGTACATTTTTAATTCATTTAATTGCATTCTCTTTATCTAGTTTTCGGACTTGTGTGGACAACAGTTCATATTTTAGATCATATTTATCAGAAATATTGAAAATCTAAAAGGGTTCACAAACTGATGCTTGGTCTATAGGTTTTGGGATTTTGTAATCATTTTTCTACCTATTTGTCAAACATGCTTTGTCATTGTTTTTAATATCAGCTAAAGTTGGCTTCAGAGTTTATGAAAAATCAGGGAGCTATCAGTTGCCTACTTTGCAAAACACCACTGTCTGGCTTACATCAAAGCAAATCCCTAGAACTGTCAATCAGCAGAGAAAGCTATTAAGACAGTTATGATATATGCTTCTCTACTGCTCTGGACTTGCTAAGGATAAGCATATTTCTGTGTGAAATAAAAGGCATGTACAGGCATAAGCCTTGGGTTCATAGGCCTCACCTGTATTTTGGCTCCTTTGTACCGGATCACTCCTGGAACTGTGGTTAGAGTCGTGAACTCGTACGCAGCTACTTCTGAGTAAACACCAGCAAGATTGCTTAGCAGAGTAGATTTCCCCACCGAAGGGAAGCCCACAAAACCAATCCGGGCATCGCCAGTCTTCGCCACATCAAAACCTACCAAGTGATCATTAATTCAGAGTAACGGATAGGCCCCAGAAAGCCTCTAGCAGAAAAGTCAAAGCAGAGAAACTGTGCCACCTTGGCATCGTCTTGGGCAAGAGGAAGGCCCACAGCTGTCCCTCCCTCCCGCAATTGGGGGCCCACTTCTCAAATCTATCCCCAAAGGACAGCCTGGTCCTGAGCTGCTGAAGCAAGAAGAGAAGTATAATAACCAAATTGTTTAAAATTCTATACCCTTCGCTTAAGTTTTTCAAATAAAGCAACAGGAACGTACCCAATTCAGTTTACATGTGTTACTACAATTTATACAAGCTTAAGGCTGACAATTTCACACTTCAGCTGACAATAGAATTGTGTGGACATGACATACCTGAATGAATGTATTTACATGTTCAAAATGGACATTTTGACACATTCAACTGAAAAGGAACGAATTGGCTGCTCCGTAGAGGCAGTTATTCCCTATAATACCAATAGACAGACCATCAACTACTTCTATTTTGGTTTAGTCTCTATTGGTAAAAAAAGTATAAAGAGCAGGCTAAAGGGGCAAGACTGACATTTGGGACTGTTAGAAACATGGTCAGCCCACCTCACAAAATTGGGCTTGCTTTGTTTCTTTTAGATCTTGGGGTCACACAGGTGCCACGTTGCCGATTCTGCCCTGGTTACCAAAAAGGGCTCTGAAAGCGTATTGACATCCTAGCAGGGGATGCCCTGCTCCCGCTCTGTCCTTTTGAAAGGACACCCGCACCTTCTCCGGTTCCGCTCCCTCCGCCTCCTTTTGGGGTAATCAGCTCTCGACGCAGCTTGGCCAGGCGGGCTTTCAACAGCCCCAAGTGGTGGGCCGTGGCTTTATTCTTTTGGGTGCGAGCCATCTGGAAAAGAGGGGGGAAACCAGGGTCAGCAGGCAATCCGTGGGCTCCAAGCCTGTTCCTTCAGAAAGACGGACCGGTTTCTCATGGCAGAAAACGGGGTTCGTTAGCGGGGAAAAGCGCAGGGGGTACATTTGGTAGAGAGGCGGTCCAGGAACGGTTCTCTGGATCCCAACCAAGCTCCGCGCCTGCCCAGGGCCCCGTCCCAGGCCCAGCTCAGAGGCAGCCTGAGCACCGGCTCCCTTCCCTGCAGAGGCTGAGGGGGGGCTGGGCGTTTTCTGCCTAGGAAAGCCCCCTTTTCGCATTGCTGCTGGCCCAGAAGCCGGGAGGGCCTGGGTTCTAGTCCTGCCGTGGGCACGAGAGCCGGTTGAGGGATTTGTTCGCTGCCTCGAGTTGATCGTCGAAGGAAGGGCGGAGACCTAAGCATCACCGCCGCTTCGGCCTTCTCTTTTGCGGCTCCCCAAGCGCATCCTCCGGCCTGCCTCCTTCATCGACATCTTCAGCGGCGTCCCCCGGATTCCCGTTGCCCAGAGGCCGCGGACTCCACCGGGACGCCTGGCGAGGAGCTCCCCAGGGCGGCGAAGAGGAGCTGAGGCCCTGCCGACCGCTGGCCGGTAGACTGCTACTGTGCGGAAGGTTCCACCGCCACGCCACGGGTCCCCCTCCCCTCCGCCCAGAGGCAAGCAGGCCGCCGCTCCTCCGTTACCTCCGCCTCGATCTCGGCGATCTTGGCCAACGTCGTAGTCATGGTGGCGGCGGCACCTCAAAGCTGGCTCTCCTCAGGCTGCAGCCGCGCAGGCGCAGAAGAGAACTCGCGCGGGGCTTCCGACAAAAGCCCTGCGGGGGCGGAGCAAAAAAAAAAAGAACGGGAATTGACACGCCGGGCTTGCGCGCGACTTCCCCGCGCTCCTCCCCTGACGGAGGGCGGGAAAGGGCCATAGAGCGTGGGCGCCAGAGCGGCACTCGTCCGTCCGGCGCCTTCCTCCTCCGCTACTTGTGGGCGCCCCCTGGAGACGAGAGCCGCGCCTCGCTCTGCCGCTTCCTCTTGCTCGGTGTCCTTTTCCAGCGCAAAATGGAGCGGGCGCCTCCCCCGCAGCCCCCGCGACTTGGCACCGCGGCTCCCCTGAGGCCGAAGCACGGGGGGCGCCCTCGCCAAATGGGGGCTCCCCGTCGGCCCCGACCCCGCGCCGCGCTGCAGCCCCACTGAGCCCGGGGACGGAGGCCGCCTCCTCCGCAGGCGGAATTCAGCTTCTGCGTCGCAGCGCCTCCGCCAACCGCGTGTCTCGGGTCAACCCGACGAGCGAGGCCGGCTCCGCGTGCGTGAAGCCAGAAAACTGGGCCCGGGCTGGCTTCCCAGAGCCCGAGGGCGCCCCGCCGCCTTCCAGGGGGAGGGCGGTTTGGGCCCCGCTGCCCCCGCGGCTACACCCCGGTCCCTGGTGTCGGGGGGGGGGGGGGGAGGAGGAAAGCGGACGTAGTGCCAGTCGGTGAGCGGCCGACGGGGGCATCTGGTGTCTCATCGGTTGTCTGCACCGCCTGTTGCAGAGGAGCATCGGCTCCCAGCTCCAGCTCCCACCTGCCAAGAGCACCAAGGCCCATGTTGCTGGACAGTTGGCCTCCAGGAGGGAGCATCAGCAGAGGCCAAGGGAGAGGGATCTGCTGGGGTGCCTTGGTGGCTGCTCAGGGCAGGTTTTCCCAGCTCTCCCAAACCCAGAGGAGTGTAAGCCGGAGGCCTCGGCCACACACGGCCTTCCCTTCAGACACTGAGATGTGAGGACCAAGAGTCCCGTCTCCACATTTATTTAATAAACTGATAATGATGTTCCAGTGAGATGCAAAACTTCTTCACTCCTCCTCCCAGGAACAAAAAGGCCCTTCCTTCCTTTTGGAGCAAACCAGAAATGTGCTTTCAAGAAAACCTGGAAAACTGGACACGTTTCCAGCATGGGAGGAAGTTGCTTCTGCCAGCTGGCTTAGTCTGGTGACTTTAGGATGTTTTGAAAATGGCCGCTGCTATTCTTGAGTGCACCTTGTATATGCATAAAGCAGCAAATTTTAAACAAATAGAATATTAAGTTTAAATCCTACTTATTTCAGAGGCACACCATAAATTAAGAACACTAATTAATAAGCTTACAATTCAGGGAAGGATGGGAAAAAAGCCTCTTTTTCCAGCTACTTTGGATGTCACTTGACTGTTCTCTGGAAATGCCTTGATTCAGGATCCAGGAGTTCTGGGTTTCCAGATCCAACCCCCTAATTCCAGCAATCCAACTAAGGAGAATTGTAACTTCTATGTTGATGCATTTCCATATACACCTCCGCTGGTGCACATATTGCCAAGATGGCTGGATTTACTTAAAGAATCCATTTGGGCACCCAACTCGGACATAGCAATTCCAGGTGGCATATAATAAATAAAAAATAAAGCAAAATAAACAAATACAACTAAAATTCAAGTACATTTAATAGGAAATCACAGCCAAATCCTTCTCCAGAAGGGCCATAGGCTAGTCCACAAACCATGGTTAAGAAAACATGATGGGTCTGTTCACACTGCCTTAAAGTGATGCAAAATTGGCCGAGTTACATTTGTGTACACTAATCTGATTTCATTGCATATATTAAGCCACCAACTGATGGCCCAGAAGCACATGAAGTGGCAGAGGAAGTTGGGCGTGTTGTGCAGTCAAAAGGCCTGTGACCCAAGGGATGAGGGGCAGGCAGGTGCCGGCCTCTGCTTATTTGGGCTCTCTTCCTGCTGCCATTCCTTGGGAGGGGGGCTTCCCCTTGCGAAGGCATTAGCCCCCTGGGAGACTCCACTGTCCCCCTTTGCATGTCGCAGCTGCTTTTTCTGCTGGTTTATTTATTTTTTTATTTATTATATTTCTATACCGCCTTTCTCCCGTAGGACTCAAGGTGGTGTACAGTCAAGAAAAATATACACATCATAAAATTGCTAATTAAAATTATTATTATAACATAGTTTGGCCCACTTAAATAGAACCTAAAATTAGATAACATGTGCAACATCCTTGGGGTTGAGGGGGTGCTTGGAGTTTGGGAGCTGCACTGACTGCATATGCTGATGCCTAATGGCAAAACTGGGGCATCACCAACCACTTGAAGGTCACTCCCAGGGAGGGTCCCGGCTCTCTCTGACTTGGGGGTACAAGGAAACCAGCCCACCTCCCGACGGCATCAATGGGACTGTGCCACTTTGTTCGCCCATGCATTGTATTTTAACCTCCACAAAAGGGCCCCCCAGTTACTTGGGAGCCACAGGGATGCCCAGGGATGCAGCACATCCACCCCGAGGCTGATTTCCCCACAGGAGACCCCGAGGCTGGCAGGCCCTTAGCTGGCCAAACATCCCACAGAGTGAGGGGTCCGGGTGGTGTAGGGGACAGGGCAGGCCAGGCCAGGCTTCCCGGAGGCCTGGGCCCTTCTTGTGCTCTCTGGCAACTTTGGGGGCAGCCTCCTCCACTCTGCTCTCCAAGAGCTTGGAGATGTGGATGCTGGTGCCATGGCAACAGATGCTTTAAGTAGATGCCCTGGAAGAGGAAGGAGGAGGAAGGAAGGAAGCCACCGAATCGGCGAGCAAAACTCGGGGCGACCTGGCAGTCTGGGGGGCAGGAAAATGAAAGGGGTGCCAGGGAGGGAGGGATGGGGGGGAGGAAGGGGCTCTCTCCTTCAGTCCCTGTTTGAAGCACCGCCTTCAGGCCCAACCAGCTTCTGCTGTCCGGGAGGCTCTCCTGGGCACAAGAGCAGAGGGGCTGCCCGGGGGTCGTGGGGGGCAGAAGCGGAGACTGCCAAGGGGGATCCCGGGTGCCGCCGAGGGGCGCTTCGCTCGCCCAGGACCGGCGGGGGAGTCCCGGCCCCGCTCCAGCAGGACCCGCGGCTGTGGGGGGGGGGGAGGCCGGGGACGGCTGGGCGGGGCTGGTGGGGGGGGCGCTGAGGGGCGGCGGCGCCCGTGGCCGCGCTCGCATTGGCGGAGGCGCCGGGAGGGGAGGGGGCAGGAAGCGAGGAGGGGGCGCCGCTCGGGCGGCAGGGGAGGCGGCGGCGGGGCGGGGGGAGCGCTTGGCGGGGGGGGGCTTGGCGCGGGGGGGCCGCGGGGGGGGGTCGGGGGCGGCGAGGGGGGCCCGGCGCAGACCCCGGAGCGGCGGCCGGCCTACTTTTGCGGCGGGGGGGTGGGGACGACGCCCCCTTCCTCCCCCCCAGGGGTGAAAGTGCAAGAGGAAGTGCAGCCGCTGCCATCTTTCCTCCGCTGCAAACACACACACACACTCGCACGCACGCACGCACACCCAGGGAGGGAGGGAGGACCCCCCCGCGCCGCGCCCGCCGCGCCGACGGCCTTCCAGAGCCACCGGCCGAGCCTGCCGCCGCCGCCGCCGCCCGCGCCCCGCCGCTTCGCCTGGGCCCTCGGAGGATCCGCCCGGCGGGGCCTGCTGCCTCCCCCCCTCGCGCCGCCCTCGCTGCCGCTGCCCTCCCGCCGGCGTCGCCCGGGCCTTTGTTCCTCCTCGCGGCCGCCGCCGCCGCCGCCGCCACCGCTGCCGCCGGACTCGCGGGCGGACGGGCGGGCGGGCGCGCGCGCGCTCCCCGCCGGGCCCGGAACTGCTGGAAGGCGCGGGCGGCGCGCGGGCGGCCTCCTGACGGGCGCGCGCCCCCGGCCCCTCGACGGGGAAGCGGGCGCGCGCCTCCTGCCGGCCGCCGCCGGGCACAGCAGGCAGGTAAGCGCGGCGCCGCGGCCGCCCCGATGGAGCGGGTGAGCGAGGCGGGGCCGCCGCCGCCGCCAGCAACCCGTGCGGCGCGACCCCGCCGAGCTGCTACACGTACCAGGTGAGCCGGCACAGCGCCGACCTGCTGCACAGCCTGAACCAGCAGCGCAAGAACGGCGGGCGCTTCTGCGACGTGCTGCTGCGCGTGGGCGACGAGAGCTTCCCGGCGCACCGGGCCGTGCTGGCCGCCTGCAGCGAGTACTTCGAGTCGGTCTTCAGCGCGCAGGGGCTGGGCGGCGAGGGCGGCGGGGCGCCGGGGGGGGGCGCCGGCGAGGCGGGGGGCGGCCCCGGCGGGGGCCCCGGTCCCGGCGGCGGCGGCGGGGCGCGCGAGCTGGAGATGCACACCATCAGCTCCAAGGTCTTCGGGGACATCCTGGACTTCGCCTACACGTCGCGCATCGTGGTGCGGCTGGAGAGCTTCCCGGAGCTGATGACGGCCGCCAAGTTCCTGCTGATGCGCTCCGTGATCGACATCTGCCAGGAGGTCATCAAGCAGTCCAACGTGCAGATCCTGGTGCCGCCCGCCGCCCGCCCCGACGTCATGCTCTTCCGCCCCGGCGCCGCCTCCGCCGCCGAGCTGGGCTTCCCGCTGGACATGACCAACGGCGCCGGCCTGGCGCCCAACGGCAACGGCATCGCCGGCATGCCCGAGGACGAGGCCACGCGGGCCGTGCTCTCGGCCGCCGCCGCCGCCCAGGCCTCGCTGCCCGTGCTGCAGGGCGTGGAGCGGCTGCCCATGGTGGCCGGGCCCCTCTCGCCGCCCCTGCTGGCCTCGCCCTTCCAGAGCGTGGGCGGCGCCGGCCCCTCGCTCGGCAGCAAGCGCGGCCGGGGGCGCCCCCGCAAGGCCAACCTCCTGGACTCGGTGATGTTCAGCGCCCCGGGAGGGCTGCGCGACGCCGGCATCCTGCCCTGCGGCCTCTGCGGGAAGGTCTTCACCGACGCCAACCGGCTCCGGCAGCACGAAGCCCAGCACGGCGTGACCAGCCTGCAGCTGGGCTACCTCGACCTGCCCCCGCCGCGGCTGAGCGAGAACGGCCTGCCCGGCCTGGAGGACCCCGAGGCGCCCCGCAAGAGGAGCCGCACCAGGAAGCAGGTGGCCTGCGAGATCTGCGGCAAGATCTTCCGGGATGTTTACCACCTGAACCGGCACAAGCTGTCGCACTCCGGCGAGAAGCCCTACTCGTGCCCCGTCTGCGGCCTGCGCTTCAAGAGGAAAGACCGCATGTCCTACCACGTCCGCTCCCATGACGGTTCGGTGGGGAAGCCTTACATTTGCCAGAGCTGTGGAAAAGGTTTCTCT